AAATAGCTCATAGTTAAATGCTGCCTGGCTTGTTCCAGCTCTGTTTTCTCTCCCTGCAGGAACCATGAACCACAAAAGACTCAAACAGGTACAAGGCAGAACTCAAGGGAGACAAATCTCTATTTTCCTCAGCCCAGGAAAAATTTATGCGCTACAGTGTGTTCATAAAACTTGATGAAACTTGTCACTGTGGGAGACATTCTAAAACTTCTATTACCAACTTTACAGCCTAAAAATAATCAGCCTGTTTTGCTCCCTAATGTGATCACAACACCTGAATTTATGTTTCCTCTATTACCCCTGCCTGTCGTAACAAGGCAAAACAGAAAATAAGATTTTGTCAATTAGCATAATATGCTAAACATTTCTCCGGTGAGAAAGCCAGGTGTCTCTAAAAAGGGGCAGTGGTACGTCAGCTTTTTCTGAATTATTTCCTGTTTTCAATTTAGGTCTTTACTGGAAGAAGAAAAAATTTAGGGGTGATTACCCACAGGACATTACCCTGATGTGTATAACCTTGCACAACATTACTACTGCCTCTCGCTCAGTATGAGGTACTGAGAATAAACAACAGGAATATAAACACGCACCACAAATGTCCCTGCGCTGTGGTAAAAGAGAGGCGAAACAGTGCAAGCAGTTTATTCGTCCAGATTTAGAGCTCATTAAATTATGGTGACAAAGGATTGTGCAACATGTTCCAATAACTTACACTGTCTCTCTGACAAACTTGTTTGATAACCATCCCACTTGTTTAGCGTATTCCAAGCACGCTGGTGACAGGCACGGGGTCAAACTAAAGGCAAACATGAGGGGGTGTGAGGGAAACAAGACATAGAAAAATAAACAAAAAGTGACTGTTGTGTTTATTCATCGTGCATCAGGGGACACTGATGAGGACCTGCCAGTCCCTTTAGCTCTGCTGGCTTTTCATTGGACCAGCTGGCATTTATACCACAAAGTCAGCTAAGCCACTTAAAACCGCTTTCTACTCCAACATTTCCTATTTTTCTTCCCTTTCCTTTCTGCTCCTTTTCTTTTAACAATGAATTTCTTCATGATCTTTCTGGACACAGCAGGGAAGAGAAGAAATGGACAGAAGGATTAAATGATGTTACATAAAGGAGAAAGGGATTGAAAGATAGACCGTGTAAGAAAGGCAAGAGATGAGTAGAGGAGTGGGAAAAATACGAGAGATTACCATTCCCCAGTTCTTGCTTATTGAGGGGTAGCTGTGTGGGTGATTATAAATCCACGCTGTTTCTCAGTAACACCGGGATTACACACCCGGCCAGACCTAATCTATGTGCCTAACATCTGCCTCTGATGAGACACAAACACACTTGCGCATGCACCAACGCACACACACGTGTGCACACCAGCATGCAGACACATACCTGCACGCAAACCCACCCGTGACCACAGTGATTACAAACACAGTCAGTGTCTGGAGCAATTTCATCTCAGGTATTTTATATACTTTAATAATATGAGTATGATCTGACAGAACATGCCTGCATGCTTAAAACAAGGCAACAAGGGGAAGAGGGGAAATGGAGTGGGACTAGGTGACGTCTATGCACATGTGCGGGGATACGAACTCACATCAGAAAACCGCTCTCGGCCGTGTAGGAAGCTGTTTACCAGCTCTATCCCATCACTACCCTCCCCCTGCTGTTTTAAGAGATTATTACTAAGGCAATCCGCTGGCATATGCCTGCAAAACTGCTATGTGTGAGACAGGGATGTTAACCATGCGCTTCATGTCCTTTATTGGATTTCCTTATGTGATGAAAGTGTATAAAGACCATCGGATTATGTCACATTTACACAACATTAAAATACAGTAATTGCCTCAAACTTTGGGACATTTCTTTGGCGGGGAAGATTTCCCTCTCTTGGCCACTTACTGCAAACTACACAAAGACCACAGAAAAAGCTGAATCCCATTTTCTGGGATATATTTTTTTTACCCTTCATTCATCTTAGCTCGAGCCCTAATATGCTGATATGCAGGGGCCTTCAGTGTTAAGCTGTTGGACTGCATTACAACACTTCTCAGTTTGTTCTGATCTTGTAAAAAACTGCTGCCTTAAAGAGAGGTGAGACAGAATGATGGATCAACAGCTGCTGAGAAATATGGCTGCATCATGGGCTTCAGAGCTCAGCTTGTTATCTTCTCTGGCTCTAAGGAATTGGTACGCTGTCACCTTTAAGATTGCTGAGTTCTGATTTAGCTAAGAAAAAGGGCTGGCTTGTGTTGTTCTTTGATCATCAGGGTTTTTATTTATGCCAGCAGAATAAGCATCACGATTTGCTGATTTTGCTGCAACTTTAAGACTTTTATTAGGCCCTTGTTAAACTATGAAAGCATGAAATGCCTTTGCTAGGAACCTTTACAGTCCATCTGACAATTCAAATGTAAGAACAATAAAAACACAATAAGATAAACACAGAAACATGTGTAGAAGACAAAAGGCGAGCTAACACCTTATTAATAATGATGAAGTAAAAACGTCAACCTCTTCCAGTTTAACCTTTGCCTCAGTTCCAGTTTTCAAGCTGTGGTTTAAAATGATAATCTAACAGCATAAATTCCAAATCCAGATTGTACCAAAATCTCTTTACGTGTTATTTGGCTCAGGAGCCGTTTCCACTAAATTTCATACAGGACTTTTAAGCTTATGAGCCCATAACTCTTTTTTAAAAAGGTCTTTAGAGGGATCTTTCCTATGAATTATAGTTGAAAAATACAAATAATAATAATAACCAGCCACACCTGTGAATATTTGTCTTTTTTAATGACCATTACTGCCTGTACCAAATTCAGTGATAGGTGAAAACTTAAAATTGAATTTATGCATTTAATAATTGTCAAAAATTAGTGAAAATTACAATCGAATTTTTTTTGCAAAATCGATGAAATTCATCCTCTGGGACCACAGGTGTGAGTCCAAAATTTTAGATCTCCAAATCTGTTCTCAAAAACACTGAAGACTAGTTTGGCTATTTTTATGTTCCCACATCTTTAAATGTTTTGGAAACAACAAAAAGCTTTCAGTCCCATCCTAATATAATGATGACATGTTTGTATGCTCAGTATCTGTATGTACCCGAACTGTTTGGGCCAATGAAACTTTGCATGAACTTTGTCACACATACAGCAATTCACTATGCGTTTGCGTTTTTTTTTAAAGATTTATTATTGAGATTTATTATATATCTCTCTTCACTTGATTTTCATGTATATTACGTTCATTTCATCATAACCCTGCAAATGAAAATGTGATGTTCCATTTTTCTTTTGCATTTGTTCACGTTCACACACAACCATATATATATATATATTGGTGTACAGTATATATTTTTGGTTTTCTGTTGTTAAATGAATGTAGCAGCGCTTCCTGCAAACCTGTTGTCAGTTGTGTTACTCAAAGATTAGATTGTTTATACTCATGAATACAATCCAATTATGGTTACGCTTGTTATATTTATTTAAATAACTCTCAAAACAACATAAAGTATAGACTCTATGCCTTTTCTTTTCTTTACACCTGGTACCTCCGACACTTGTTTTCATGGCACCATCTGGTAATTTCCAGAAAACTCTCTGCGGAACAGTGGCTTGTGTTAGCAAAGACTGCGTTATCAATATTAATAAGCCATGTTGTCATGTAGAGTACAGCACAAAGAACACGGCCATATGGAGACGCTACTGTATGTTACTGGCTCTTCTAGAGGGCTATGCTAAAACCCACTTTCTTTGGTGAGATTCTCAGTACATTATTCATCTACATCCTCATTTCTGCGCTTATTCCCATAACATTAGGCTACACTGCTATAAGTAAGTGCTAAAAATCTTTTTTTTCTAAAGAGTATATATCAAAATAAGACCATTTATGGATTCAGATTGGGTTATAAATTGTAGGGTACTTGCATCTTTTTTCTTTCTTTCTTGCTTCTTTAATAATCCTGGATTTATTATTTTTATTTTTACCTTAAAAGCCTTTCTTAGTGTTTTCTTTACTCAAAGGCTTATATGACAAAACTCAGAGGTTTAAGGTTATACATCACCGTGCTGTGCTGATAAAGGAGATTTCCTTGTAATTAAGAATGCCTTGAAATTTTTTATTATTATTATTTTTTAAGTGCTTAAGATTATCAAAAGTTCCTTCAAAGCAGACGAGCACTGTAATACATTAGCTTGAGATTCCGAAGTCTGTGAAGCACAGTCAGCGCAGTCTTATCGGGGATTTGCAGTTTCAATTAGCAGATTTAGATGTTTTGTGGTCTGTACCATCAAGACTATAGATTTTCTTTTCCTGGTGTGAGTAATATTATAAATTCATTCAGTCACTGCCCCTTCTATCGAGTTTATTCACATACTCAAAGCGTATGATTGTGTGCCCTGACCTCACTTGCCAGAGCTGTCTGTCTCCTGGTCATCACATCAGGCTCATGTGGAACTCATCATACTGCTTTGAGGATGACACTGGGCTGCTCTAATCTGTTCCTGCTGCTGTGCTTGAGGGCATCAGGGTCATCCATTCGCCCAGCAGTGAAGAGTTAAACAAGTGGAATGGCACTGTCCTCAATGTGTCACCACAAGTATTAATGACATATGAATCCACCAGATCTGATGGAGAGACTGACTGCACTGTTACCCGTGTTAAGGATGAATGGGTTTAGCCTGCAACCTCCATTTACTGTTACTGCACTGTGCACAAAGGGAATTATAGCTTAGTCCATAAGTGGCACTCAGTAGAGACACTACTAAAGGACATTGGTTCAATCAATAGTGCACCGTATTTGCAAATGAAAGGCTTCAATTATATAGCCTGGCTCCAGCTGCATGGAAATGCTAATTGTAATACCTCAAAAGCCAACAGCATATTTGTACTTGCACACGAATAACTTCGGACAAAGAAAAAACAATCATTACATTTTCAAATTTGTCGTTTGCCTACGACGCATGCCTCACACAAGTCTGTGTGTGCTGACTGGACTTCCCATGCCGACCCACCGCTGTGTGTACACTTAGAGCATAACCAAGCTTTGTGCTGAGATCAAAGACAGATTCTGGGATGTCACGCTGGGGATAGGCAGAGGGGAAAATGAGGGAAAATCTTTGTTTGCACGCATGCCTCGGCAAAGTAGGTTAGGAGATGAAGAGTGAAAGTCAAAGACGGCAAGAGGTGTGAGAAATGGAGATGCGCATAAAGCCCAGTGGAAGGCACAAACGTTGTTTGTGAAGCCGTGAAGCCGTGTCTTCCTCGTGCTCAGTCTGTGGATTTGATGTTTTGCCACAGTGCCGCCTCGCCACGGACAGCGCCGTTTGCGTCGTAGTTCAGAGCATGGCAAGGACAACACAAACGGTCAGGGAAGGCAATTTGTTCACGCGTGTGTTCCCAGAACAGCAAATTAAATGAGGTTTCCGCCGGCGGTGCGATGATTTGGCATTTTTAAAAAAAAAATATATATATATATCTGAAGAAATAGCCTTCTTCTTTCCCGCGTGGGCACATGCAGGAGGAGACTTGGAGATGCCAGCCAGCAACCCGGGGACACTTGACGAGGATGGAGATTTAAAATATGAATGGACTGGACCTTATCTGGAGGACTATTTTCTGAACGACAAATAATTTGCATTCATTGCCAGAGAGAAGGTGTGGCAACCGCCGCGTGTCCGAGCTGCCCGTGGCACGTGGATGGATGACTTTTGTGCGAACATAAGAAAGAGCCGAGAGTACGTGTAACTTTATATGCCACACGTGATTCCCGCACAATAGCCCGGCAATTCATTCCCATCGCCTTTAAGTGGCAGACTCTCGTTGGGCTCTTGTGGAACTCGAAAGGGTGCGCTTAATGTTTCGTTTAGGACACGCCGGTACCGACGGTACCTGCGGGACATAAATTTACAGCGGCGATTCAAAAGCAGCTCGGGCTGTGGGCCAGTGATGCCGGACACATTAACACTTGTAAAGAACCGGACAGAGCCACGGCTGGGGCAGCTAGATCGCACCCTGGCCACAGAGGGGACCGCCCGCCCCGCCTGGGTCATTGCAATCCTGGCCAGTGTTTTGATCTTCACCACGGTGGTTGACGTGCTGGGGAACCTGCTGGTGATCATCTCGGTGTTCAGGAACCGCAAGCTGAGGAACGCGGGTAGGAGTTTTTCCCCCAATTCCGATAGTCTGAAAGGACGCAAAGGTCGGACAAAGTCACACCACATGATCAGTGATCACAGAACTAACAATACTTCGCCATTAACCCAGATGGAAAAGATACAACTTACTGGAGTCTAGCGAGAGTTTGCATAATGCTGTAGGTTACGTAGGCAATGCTGAGTGTGACATCTGCTCGGGGGTGAACACTGGTTATATAAAATCTTGTTTTTGTTTCACCCCGCACGTTTCTTAATCTCGGGCTGCTTCTGCGCATTTCTTTAACCTATTGACCTCAGAGCGCACTTAGCCTTTCCGTGCCACTGTCATCAGAGCAACAACAAAAGAAATTACTCTAGTAAACTGTGCATTTTATGTGCCTTACCTTGAGGAAAAATATAAAAAATCAGTGACTAAACTGAACTCACATTAGGTACTGTCCAATTTAACCTGATTCTTTTGGATTTTTAACTTGATTTCAAATTAAACATCTTGGTAAAGCTTAGTTAATACATTGATGCTGATTAAAAGCTGCCAGGCACATGGACAGGATGCTTACAGTAGGTGCAGATGGGCACAGAAATGATACAGGCACAGATTTCACCTGTGCTTCAAGTTAGGGAATAGTGTGTTCAAGTAAATGTCGTGTAAGATGAATTAAGCTGCCACTGGAGCTCTTATTGATAGCTTGCACTGTTAAAGCTACTCTGACAGTCTGGCATCCCACTTTTCCCACACTTACACGCTCTACTAGTAAAGTTCACCGGCACTCTGAGTCACACTTACTATGAAAGGGCTGGTTAATAAGCAGAGGAGTCCCTCTGAAAAGCTTGCTGTAATGGTGTTGATGAACTTATTTTGTTGTGAATGTAGGCGCCTCTGCATGCAGGACAAAAGTACTCTGGGACCTCTAATTCATCCAATTATAAATGAAATGAATAACTACAAATTTTTAGTGACTCATTCAAACTTTTAATGTGACTGGGTTTCTCCCTAATTCTCCATATTTATTACAAGCTTGAGATGCTTCTTTTGTGAACTGAAAACTAATATTTTATTCTAATAGAAATTTTAAAAAATGCTTAAGAACGAGACTGAGATTAAAAACTTGCCAAGATGGATATTTTATGCAGTGAAGTCTGCCACACAGTGCTGACTGGCTATTTTGTGCTTTATCAGGCAACAATTAGGGCAGGAAGTATGCATTTATTTGCATAATCTGTAAATCAGCAACTATTTTTCAGCCAGTAGGAAGCATCCAGGACTCATTTCCCCCTTATTAGTCAATAGGAAAAAAACCCTTAGGATTTATCAAAGCAACTACAAACTTTCATTGAAGCACGTAATGAAGTTGCCCTCACATCCACGAGTGGATATGAGGGCTTCTCATGGAGACGTTTTTTATTCCATTTGGGTGTATTCTCTTTCACTCAGATATACACAGTGATCACTGGAGCATTTGAATGCAACCCTGTCTTCAGGTTCAATTTTTTTAAATAGAGGTTTAGGTTAGGTTCATTGGATTCATAGCGCTAAATCTAATCAAGGTTATTTATTTATTGAAGCTATCAAGAAGCAGAATTCAGAAAATTAAGAAGTAACAAGTCGGGTGCCAGCATGAATCATTTCTTTTAGCAAGACATGACCTATAGATATCCTCATAATCATTATGTTATTAAACTTTACACACAGTGACAGCAGCATTCAGAGGATTTAAATAATCAAAAAGAAGGCTTCCCACTTGTTGAGAGAATAAAACAGAGATTATAGCCTATTAAAGAAAAGGTTGGCTGCTGCTGTAACCACAGAAAACGTTGGATATCTTCATCTCTGCTGTTTTCCCACAGTGACTCAGGCATTACTTTGATGGAACCCTTTTGAATATAAAGCATGATCAGTCTTTGGTGTACACTTAGGAGAAAATCTGCAGTGAGTGCATGCAGTCAAGTGCCCCCAGTGAGAATAAAACATTAACTGTCATTTGTCCAGTGGAAATCTCTCATATAGGCTTTCAAATGGCTTGGATCTTCTGGAAAAGGGGGATCAGGAGGCATGATCCCACCAAATGGATCAATTTTTAATTGTATAAAATGCGCATCTACAATTCCAACAACAACAACTGCTTGTACAAGGACAATCAGCACATCTTGTGATTAATCACATGCCAGCAATTTCCCCATATACACCCATTAGCATAAGACAATATATCAAACGCTTGATTAAAAATTGCTTAATTTCTATTAGAGATGGACCGATCCAATGTTACGTATCGGTATCGGTCCGATACTGACGTAAATTACTGGATCGGATATCGGAGAAAAATAAAAAAATCTAATCGATCCATTAAATACCAAAAAAGCACCTCACAAAACTTGCGACATGGCGTAACTCGGCTCATAACCGTAGCACATCGCAGCAGTACGGGTCACGTGATAGAGCGGCTGTGTGTATTTGTAGCCTCCTAGCAATCCGGCATTTCATCTCCAAGGAAGTGATCCCAGAGAGAAGTAAAGCAAGTGTGTAAGTTCATCTCTGAATGTTTGTAAAGCATTCCAGCGTTAAGCTTAACAACCCATATATGGAGGGACTGCCTCTTCTCTCCCTCCCTCTCCTGCTGCTACTTCAATCGAAACTGATCAATGATCAGCTGATCGGCTTTTCTGTCACAAGTCCGTCTCTCTTGTTTGTTTATTTCTTTCTTATTCTCATTTAAAATGTCTAGCTTTTAATAAATAATTATCCGAATCTTACACCCAAAGTTTTAATCTAATGTAAAATGTATAGAAGTCTATTACTGTATATAGTAACTATTAAGTCCAATATACCCTAGTAAGCTATAGTACTATTTCCTTTGGGAAGATACCATTTGTTCAATCTACAATTCTGTTGAAGAAAGATGTTGAATCTATTTAATTATTCTTGAAAAATAACTGATTTCTGTGTATTTTTTTTCCACACTGCATCAAATTATAGTTGATTACGTCAATTAAGCATCATGAGGTGGAGGGGGGGTGGTTCCCTATTTTTTATTTTTTTTGCTGGGAGTTTTAGAACCCTATTAGTTAGGTTGCTTAATATTTCTGCTAAGTACTCTTTAAAATACCAGAATAGGGAGGATGGAGTAGGTTTAAGTTTATTAGATTGATCAGTATTGCTGAACTATGAAATATTTTGGGTGCAGTGTATTTTTTGCATACAGGTATAACCAGAGATGGGCAGTAACGCGTTACTGTAATCTGATTACTTTTTTCAAGTAACGAGTAAAGTAAGGGATTACTATTGCAAAAACGGTAATTAGATTACCGTTACTTTCCCGTAATAACGCTGCGTTACTGCGTTACTAAAACCGTGATTTTTTGCGAGAATGTCTCATGACAGTGACGTAAGCGAGTGCGCCGTTAGTGACAACAGCTGTGTGCAGATCAACAGTGGATCACATATCGATTGTGGGAGAGAGTATGAGCGTGCAGCATTTAAAGCGTGGAAGTACTGACCTTACTTTGAGTTTGATTCCATAAAAAGTGACAAAAACATTAGCGTCCATCGTGCGTGGGAAGAAAACTTTTTACAGCGAAAAAAACCCCTAAACTTCCAAGCAAGCACCGAGTGCGCAACGACGTAATGGGAAACTCACAGAGAAACTCGCGGATTCTTCAACTGACCGCGGCACACCTGCACCAGGGTAAACCTCCGCCTACCGAAGTCCTGCTTTACAGGTGAAAATAGAGCAACAGGACCGCTGAGTCTTTGACTTTATTTATTTTCTGCTGTGTTTTACTTGCATCTATTTGAAAGAGTGAGTGTAAACACACAAAATATTTTATTTTATGTGCTGGAATGTGTAGAAAATAGGTTTAAGATAAGATAAGATAAGATAAGATAACCTTTATTAGTCCCACACGTGGGAAATTTGTTTTGTCACAGCAGGAAGTGGACAGTGCAAAAGTTATGACGCAAAAATTAGAATACAATAAGAATAAATACAGTACACAGCTGTACAGAATAGAATAAAATAAAATAAAATACTATATACAGTAGAATAAAATGTTAAATGTTAAACTAATTTATTCAAGTCAGAGAATGTTGCATATAATTAAATTTTTGCTTGATGCATAAAGTTAAAAGATTAAAACTAATAAAACAAGTTAAAAAAATACACTTTTCCATTTGATTACATTTTGTATGATGGATTATGTAGAAAAAGTAGAATTGGGCTGAAAGATCTATCGCTTTATCACCTCTTCAGGTTGTAAATCGTGTTTTTAAAAAGTAACTAAGTAACTAAGTAATTAATTACTTTTGAAAATAAGTAATCAGTAAAGTAATGGGATTACTTTTTGGGGGAAGTGATCAGTAATTAGTTACTGATTACTTTTTTCAAGTAACTTGACCAACACTGGGTATAACAGAATAGCTTTAGTGTTTGTTTGTTTTTTAACTTGAGTATGAACTTATACAAAAAGCAGCAAGATATAAAAAAAAACTGTTTTATTGATTAAAAAATACACTATATGGGATTCATATCGGTATCAGCAGATATCCAAATTTATGGTATCGGTATCGGACATAAAAAAGTGGTATCGTGCCATCTCTAATTTCTATTCAAGATGTACTTGGATGGTAGGGGTTAGTCTTCCCATATATTTTTGTTTTCTTCTTCTTTTTGGCCACTCGCATGTGCATATTTCTGCCTTAAAGCTGATCTCTCTCAACTGAGACAGCCCACTCAGCAGTTCAAAAACCACACTGAACCCACGATGGTGAACTCGAAGGATGGCTCCTGTAGATTGAAATAACCCACTCGACAGTTTAGATGGGAAAACACCTGACCTAACAGTGGTATATTCACAGCCACAGCAGGAGCAGGAGGGTAGCGCACGATTGCTCACCATTGTTGTCATGGCTTTGCATAAGTCTCCCCTGTGGCAGTGAACAAAGTATACTGACAGCTGAGAGTAATTTTTCATAAGATGCTTGGTTGATGATTGACGACTAGCTCTC